ACCCTCCCTTCCCTCCTCCTCGCCACTCCTCCTCCCTCCCTCCCTTCCTCCCTTCTCCTCCTCTCCTCTCCTCCCCTCCCCTTTCCCCTCCCCTTTCCCCTCCCTTCCTCCCTCGGTACTGCCAGATCCGCATTTGAGCTCCTACTCATTTTCTCCATGACAACCTTTGACAATTTACAGGGGGTCCAAAGCTCAAGTCAAACCACCGGTGGTATCAGGCAATACTGAACCCAAGAGGATATTATGGGGTGAAAGATTTGAGGGGGTGGGTGGGGGTACCCGGTGGACGTCCCTTCGTTTTCAGTGACCATGGCGGAGATGCCATGGTGGGGGAGGCAGGCAAAGGGAAGAAGCGCAGGAAGAGGAGGACGGAGAGGAGAAGATATGTTGATGAGACGAGCGATCTGTAAGTTTGAGACGATGATTGAGCTAGTGAGGCGAGCAGGGAGTGCATGAAGGGTCGAGGATAGCAGAGGATCACTATAATCATGAAGAGATGGCTTCTGAGTGGCATCCTTGTCCTATTTCAAGCGTTCACCTCAAGTGGAGTAGGGATGAAATCGTCAGAAGTTTCTTTCTTCGGCCTCAGAGATCAAGTAGCGATTCAATACCTTACCGTCGATTATACACGAGCGTATTCAGCGCAGCCATTGAACTTCACCTTGAAGTTCAAGATGTGCTTTGGTTGCGGCGGTCTGCTCCCTGGAGACAAGATCTGGGTCACGCTGCCTAACTTCTTCCGCAACTCCACGGGGACCATCCAGCTTGGCACAGCAGAGTTCGCAGAAGCGGACTGGGTAGAGGCAGAGAGCACTCTTGTCCTCACATGCACTCAAATAACGGCCAATGGTCGCGATTACAGCGTGCTGATCCCAGCGACATCGGGCATCAGTGCTCCCAAGGAAGGAGTTCGAATCAACTCCTTCGGTACTTACTACACAAACGCGCAGAATGGCGGGCCCTCGGTTCCTGTGAACACACCTCTGCTGCAGATTGGTTCGTTCACGGACACCCTCAAGGTTGATTTTACGGAGAGGGTTGCAGGAAGAATGGTTGGGATAGACGTCTCGTTCATTGCCCAGATGAATATGATTGCGAATGATATGATCAGGGTCTCATTTCCTAGTTTCACATGTCAAAAAGGTTATCCATGTTACACATCTCAGTTTTCCCTCGTTGAATTGAATTGTTCGAACGCGCAAGGTCTACTGACTGTCAGTACTATACTTCGCTCAAGTTGGAGTATGAGCAGCGTTCTTAGCGTTTATATGCCTGCCTCTACAAGTTTTCTCCTGCCGGCGCTGCTGCATTGCAGGATCTTTGTTCCACAGTCGGCGGGAATAGCGATAGGTCAGGATGGAATATTGTTGCATGATCCTAGGGTCTTGGTGGAAACGAATGCCTCTCAAGGTCCAGTCTTTCCAACTGTCGCTGCTGCGCCTGCCATCGGATCCTTTGAGGAGTACAGGTTTCAGTTCGCTGGCCAATCTCCAGATGTTATTCTTGCCGGGGATATCGTCTCTATTTCCTTGAAATTCATACACAATCGCGATATTCTTCCTGGAGAACACATTGCTCTTCATCTGCCAGGATTCTCAAGACGAGTAGCTGACCAGAATCAAAGCATCACAACTCAGAACGATCAGTTTGATCAGGCCAAGTGGCATCGAGATTCTAACATTCTCGTGTTCACTGCTAAGTACCTTGTTTTGGCAGGCTTGCGCAGTGACATTTTTGTGAGCTCTCAAAACTCTTTTGCGCTCCCTACAACAGGCCTTCCATCGGACTTCCAGGGAGTCCAGCTGACGACGGACGCTATCTACGGCCCTGTTGTCTCAAGATCTCTTGATATCTTGACGCCAGTCGGCGCTTTTTCCTACACCAGCATGTCGTACGACAACCCGACAGCCGGGGAGCGAGTGGACATTCATTTTCAGTTCACTCCTCTCATGAGCATTCAGGAGGGAGAGCTGATCGAGTTCTATCTGCCGGGCTTCAAGGGCCCTGAGGGTATCATCCCCCAGTCCGATGTGTTCGACATGGGGAGCGTGAGCGATCCGCGGTTCTATGCTGCATGGTCGGCGACCTACCCCGATCAGCGCCTGGTGTTTGTGGTGAACTGCGGGAAAGTGCTGGAGGCAAATCGATCAGTTCATGCCTTCATCTCCTCCACCTCTGGCCTCACTCTGCCGGAGAAAGCCATCTCATTGAACCAGCAAACATTTTTCATCTCCTGTAACGCCAAGGCAGGGCCGGTGTATTCTACCCCTCTTTGGTATGTCGAGCCAGTCGGGGCTCTACTTGCTACTTCTACCTACGCCAGGTTGGCGTATATACCAGAGTCACCTTCAGCTGGTTCAATAGTCCAGCTTGAGCTGGTCTTCAGCAATGGGATGAAGTTGGTTAAGGGAGATGTGTTGTCAATGCAGCTGCCGGATTTCTTTGCTGAGTATTCCCTCGAGAACAATTTCGAGAGAAGGTCTATGATTCAGATCGTTGTAAATACTATCAACTACGTTTATTTGTCTGCAACCTGGGTTCAAGGCAGCCATGAATTCTCCATCTCTTTCAACGAGGATATCATTGAGGCTTCCAACATTACCATCGTCATTCCAGAATCTTTCGGGCTTCACGTGCCTGTCAATGGCCTGATGGCAAACCAGGCAACTTTGAGGCTTTTCGGATCGTTTGAGGCGGGTCCGGTGGCCCCCCAGTCGATCAAGATTTCTCCCGCCGTTCCTCTCTTTGACTCCATCGTTGCCTCCTTCGATCCTCCTGCCATCGAACGCGATCTGTCCATCAATATTTCGCTCCATGACGTTGCGACTTCCCGACCCAGAAACTTGGTCGAGCAATGGCGACTCAAGTTGTCTGGTCTGCGGAGGGCCTCGAGTATCTCCGCCTTCACTGTCGTCGGTCAGAACATCGATGTCCTGGGGTCGAGCTGGAATCCTCTTACCAGCGAAGTCCTTCTGACTGTCACCATCAGCACGGCGAGCTCTTTCCGCTATCTGTACATCTCCTCTTCGCAACAGCTGTACGTTCCCTTCCCCGGCCTTGCAGCTAATTCTTTCTCTCTCTCCCTCGATCCAACTCACGGCTACCCCATCCAACTTCCAATCAACTCTCGCGCTATCGGATCGCTGCAGACTCAGCCGCAGATCGTGTTCACGTCAACGGTGGTAGCTGGCAGCCCAGCCGCCTTTGAGATCTCTTTCACGGCCAGCATGTCGCTGGCGCCCAAGGATCGCATAGTCCTCAACCTCCCGGGCTTCTTCACTCCAGTAGGTATCTTTGACCTGGACATCTACCAAGTCACTGCGGGTCAGAACTCGTTGTCACTTACAGTGTCTGTCGGGAAAAAGATCGATCCGGGAGTGAAGCAGGTCGTTCAGTTTCAGTCTCAGCTGGGCATTCTCTTCCCACCTGACGGTCTCTCAGCTCTCACTTCGCCCACCATCGAGATGATAGCAGTCGCTGGGTACCTGATCCCGACTGCTCTGGTCTCGACCGCGACGGACGGATCCTTCGAGAGCACGAGAATGTTCTTCAATAATTACAACTTGGTTGACTCGTCTGCTGACGTCATCATCACATTTGTGCCGCAGATGCCCATGGCTGCGAATGAGACGATATCTATCAGGATGCCCTCCTTCTCGCAGCCCCAACAGGCCTTCGCTGCTGTCTCCAACACTTCCCTTGCGATGACGTGGCTTCAGAGCAGCAGGACGCTGCTACTGAAGTTGGAGCAATCGCTTCAGAGAGGAGAGCTTGTCAAGGTCGAAGTCCCAGCTGGGACCGGGCTGACTTTGCCGACCGAAGGAGTCGAGAAGAACTGGGATGGAATTCAGATCTCAGCTCAACTGGCCACCTCGATGGTGGACTGGCAGCCTTTCAAGTTCGTCCAGGCTGTCGGGAAATTCCGCAACTTCACCCTCGACTTTCATCCCAGGACCCCTCTGGCGGCCTGCAAGCTGGACTTGCAGCTGGAGAGCAGCATCAACATCTCAATTGGTGACAAGGTCTCAGTGTTCCTGCCCAACTTCACTTCCTCCTCCTCGTTGACCTTGTCGGAGATGGGAACCGCTGCTGTGCAGGGAATCATGACGGAGGGGATGAATGGGACGTGGGATGAGGTGAGGGGAGTGCTGGAGCTGGTGTGCGAGCGAGCCGCAGGATGCGGGAGGAGCGTTTCAGAAAGTCTCGATGGGATCCTGAAGCTGCCAGGAGGAGGTCTGGAGGAGGCGGACAAGCGGCTGGAGGCGATGATGAGAAGCTCTGAAGGATTGGTTGCGATCGAGAGGGAGAGTGTGATATGGAGCCCTGCAGTACCTGCGCAGAGCTCGCAGATGAGGGAGAAGGGGGCAACGTGGGTGGAGGAGAGGTCAAAGGGAATCCTGTTCAACTCAGATGAGATTCAGATGGCAGGGACAGCTGGGAAGCGGAGGCTCCTGGAGGTGGGAGGGGGGCAAGGATTCACTAGCACGAGATTGGACGCATACTCGTTGTCAGGGATGGTGGAGGTGCAGTTTGCATGCTTGTCAAACTTGTCGACGGGGGAGGAAATCTCTGTTAGCATGCCCAATCTCTTCGTAGGTACGTCCTCTGCACTACAGGACTCCTCGCCTCTGCTCAGCGTGAAGTCTTTCAACGTGTCTTTGGGAAGAGTCGTGCTCCGTATCGACCAAGACATTCTAGCGTCGACGCTTGTACATTTCAAGATCACTGGTCTTGTTCTGAGCAAGGTAAACCAGAACTATTCTCCGTCAATCTCTTCTGCACCCCGTTTCCAAGATCAACCCTTTCAAAACGTTCGATTTTTCTGCTCCTTCTCCCAGTCCTACCCGCTAGTGTTCGCATCCCTTGTGCATTACAACGCGCGGGCGGGCGAGCCCGTGGAGCTGAGGTTCAGAGTCACCTTCTCAGACTCACAGAAGCACATTCTACGCATCCACCTCCCGGAGATCTCCTTGCAGCAGGCGACTCAGAACGTGACTGAGTTCTTCTTAGCCGGAGTCTACTGGACGAGAATCAGGTGGACTGAGCCGTCCAAGGTGCTCGAGGTCTTTCCTTACGGTGTTGGAAGCTTCCAGCCGGAGTTCGCGATCTCGACGTCTTACGGTTTTGTGCTGTCCCGCTATGGCTTCAGGTCCATCGATCGAGGCATCTTCATCCTCTTGGACGACTGCTACCGTCACGTCTTTGACGAGCTCCCGCCCGTTGGCTCCTTCAACAACGAGACTCAGGTCTCGTTCGTCGACGGAGTCCCCGGCCAGCCCTCCAGGATCATTTTCAATTTCTCAATCGCCATGTCTATTCAATTCGAGGAGACCATTTTCGTCCATATTCCGAAGTTTCTCGGCAAGAGCTCCAAGGTCGCTTACTTCAACCTGTCTTGCTCCCTGGACAACTCAAAATCGCTCGTCCCCTCGTCAGTCCTTTGGGACCCTCCGTTTCTCAACTTCACGGTCTTGTCAGACATACCACCCTCCAGCAGATGCCTTGCTGTAGTGGAGCAGGAGGTGAATGTGGTAATTCCTCCAGGAGGTGTCTACATCGTTGACTTCATCACCGTCGCTACCAACGCTCAGGATGGTCCAGTCCTGCCCACAAGGGTGTACAACGTGCTGGGAGTGGGAAGGATCGAACCTGTCTATCTGCGCTACGAGTCCACGTCATCTCCTGAGACTGGCCTTCAGATCCTCTTCTCCTACTCCCTCCCTCTAAAGAGCGGCGATGCCCTCGTCCTCAGCCTGCCAGGTTTCCTCGGGGAGATAACGCACAACGTGTGGGTCCCTGGGTTTGGCCTCGCTAGCTGGAACCCCCTGCTCGGTCAGCTGAGGCTCGTGCTACTGAACACTGCCTTTGACGCAAACACCAGCGTCGCAATCTTCGTCGACTCCGACGCAGGCATCAGGCTTCCGTTGGAAGGTGTGAGCAGGAACCAGCCCTCCCTCAAGATCGGAGTTCAGTCTCCTGTGGCCTACGCTGTCCAGGTTGCGTTCCCGGAGTCCGATGGTGTTGGCTCTTTCCTCAACAGCCCCAAGTTGTCTTATGGCAACCCAACGGCAGGAGAGGTTTCTTCTCTCATCCTCGAGTTCAGGCCTGAGATGAGAATCCTTGTTGACGAGCACGTCGGACTGATCCTCCCCGGCTTCACGGGGGGACGGGACACATTCAATGTCTCCTCGACTCCTGAGGGCTGGTTCAAGGTGGGCAGGTGGTACGTCAACGAGTCAAGGCTGCTCATGACGGCAGCGGTCGTCATCCCTGGGCCTAACGAGACCATTCAGATAGTCATCCCGGAGGCAGCTGAAATCAGACTTCGCCTGAAAGGTTTGGGTGCCAACCAGCAGGACCTTAAGATCCTTACCAATGCCATCGACGGTCCCATCAAGGGCGCGATCATCCCTACCTCGCAGGCCGTCGGCTCCTTCTACGAGCCTGTGAAGAAGCTCCCCTTCCTCCACGTCACCTACACTGCGCTCGAGTCCCCAGCGACCATCCAGTTCTCCTTCGAGCCGCAGATGACGATCAGGGCAGGGGAGATCATCAACCTGACCCTGACAGGCTTCACTGCCAACGGCAACATCTACAAGTTTGACCCTATCAACGACAACGCCAACCTCTACGCCAACTGGTTCAACAAGGATGCTGTCCTCCAGCTTGTCTTCATCCAGGACATCCCAGAGCTCTCAGCTCAGTCTCTTACTGTCCCATCCTCTTTCGGTATCCGCCTGCCCCCCTACGGCATTAGCACCAACGATCCTCGCATGCGCATCTCCTGTAATGCCATCTACGGCCCGGTTCCTCCGATCCCCATCGCATACAGCAATCCCATCGGAGTCTTCACTTACAAGTCCATCTCGTTTGACCCGCCGGTTGCAGGGTCGCTTGTCACACTCTCCGTCGGGTTCAGGTTGAATCAGGAGATCGCCACGAACGAGTCGGTCAAGATGACGTGGACGTACAATCGCAATGTCATCTCCGAGTGCAGCCAGGCGTTCCCCAGCCACCCAGACGTCACGGTTGCAACAGCTGGGAACGGCTCCCTTTACTTCCCCACAGCGCTGATCAAGTGGTCCGAAACCCAGGTCGTGATCGAGGTCTTGGCAGCTCAGGTAGTCCAGCAGGACATGGTTATCTCTTTCAGCATCCCCTCCAGCTCGGGCATCCGCCTGCCAAAGTGTGGCTTCAATGACCACTATGACAAGTTTCTGATCGAGACAAACGCAAAGGCCGGGCCAGCGAACCCCAGCAGCATGCAAGTCCTCAACGTGGGATCTTTCCACCACTCCGTCATCAGGTTTGACCCCCCGCAGATCGGACAGCTCGCAAGCATCGACCTCGCTTTCTTCTCTTCCATGGCCCTCAGCAAGGACTCTTCTCTCTCTCTCACCCTCCCTGGGTTTCAGCTGGACAAAGCAGACCAGGGCACTGCGGTCACCATCACCGCGACCTCCTCTTGCTGCGATGGAGCCTGTCAGATGGTCGGGCAATGGCGGCCCCTCCTGTTCGAACTTCAGATCCTCTTCTCGTCCAACCCGATCGTCTTTTCTGTCGATCAGTTGTGCAACTATCACATCCAGATCTCCCGTTCAGAGCTGTTCCGGGTATCTCTGGAGGGTTTGTCGGAGAACAGCAGCAATGTCACCCTTGGCACAAACTCGAGCTACGGAAAGGTGGTTCCCCTGCCTATCGACAAGTCCCCAGGGATCTACAAGACGGGAGGGATCGTCGAGTCTAATCTCTCCTTCTTTCTCTTCGGCAGCTCGCAACTGCCGTCGTCCAACAACCCTTGTGGGATCCAACTGTCTGTCAGGATGAAGATGCTTCTCGTGCCAGGAGACATCATGACTCTGAGACTCCCGGACTTCAAGAACACGACTGGCTTCCAGCCTCAGCGAACTTGCTCGACGTCCAAGGTGAGGAGCCTGTACTGGTTGGAGGCTGAAAGTTCCCTTGTCCTCCAAGTCATCTCCGAGATCGAGGCTCGGGAGCTTTTCATCTACTCCTCCTGCGTGGAGGAGCAGCTCATTCTACCTGAGCAGGGCGTCAGACCCAACTCTGTCAACATCACCCTGTCCTCAAACGCCTCTGCCGGCCCCTTCCCTCCTCTTTCGCTGCAGCAGGTGACGCCTATCGGAGCCTTGCTCAACAGCTCCATCTCGTTCTCTCCTCCCTATGCTGCGCCAGTCAGTCGGTATGCGAGCTCGCCGTGCTGCAACGACTACACGGCCTCGTGCTGCACCAACTATCAAGAGGCTTGCAACTTCCGCGTCAACGTCACTGTCAAGTTCATCAAGTACATGTCTATCACTCCAGCTGACAAGCTGCTCGTCCAACTTTGCGGGTTCCAACGAGTTGTCAACTGCCCAGCACCGCCGACGAACGAGACGAGCATGTTTGACCTGTCTTGGGATGCCGTTCAGAGCCAGCTGACCTTAATCCCCAAGTATACGCTCTACTCTACCTTCATGGACTTCGTCGTTCCAAGCTCGTTCGGTCTCGTCCTCCCTCTAGATGGTTTGTACGGACGGGAGTGCCTCCGGATCGGAACGGATGCTGCCGACGGGCCTGTACCCTTAACTAGCTTCCCGTACAAGCAGCGGGTAGGGGCCTTCTGGAACATGTCAATCTCCTTTATCACTTCCTCGCCCTTGGCCACCATCGGTCTGACCATCCGCATGCGGAACAAGATGCCGTTGGTTGCTAAGGACGTGATTGTCCTGTACCTGCCCACCTTTAGTGGCCCCAACATTTCCTGTGCTTCAGCGGTGGGCGAAAACGGGACGTTGATCAGCTCCGCGTGGTTCCGAGAGAACAGCTCCGTTGCCTTCGAGCTCGTCGACAGCTTTCCTGTTGACTCCACCATTACCATCTTTCTGCCCTCTACAGCGATGATCGGCATACCGAAGGATGGACTGAGCGCAAGCTCCAGCATTTTTCTGTCGACGGACGCCTTCTTCGGGCCAGTCTTGAAGACGAAGATACATTACGTGCCGGTGATCGGGTGGCAGGGGATCTTTAACCATGTCTCGTTGCGCTTCGGAGATCAGCCGAGCACGCACTATCCTGTTCCCCTCCTCCTCTCTTTCTCCTACAACGCAAGTCTGCACTACGGCGACGAGATTGTGTTGGGGCTGACTCGGTTTTCCTTTCCTCAGAGTCTTGTCGACACCAGCACCTTCACCACCGAGTGGTCTGTGCGCTCGGACTGCTCAAAAGGCTGCGGATGGCAGACAGTGATGTACCCGATCGTCGGGTCGGCACTGTGGGATGCTGCCAACCAGACGCTGACGTTGAAGCTCGTGGGCGACATAGAGGCAGGAACCGAGATGAGCATTCTGATCCCTTCGACCGCCGGGATGAACCTACCGCAGACTGGGGTCGGGAGGCAGCACAACATCAGCATCGCCTGCAAGGCGCAGGCAGGTAGCACCAGGTCCCCCTTCAGGGTCGTCGACTTCTACCCCGTCGGCGGCATCGACAACCCCAACATCACTTTCGATCCGTTGCAGGCAGACGTTTACAGCAGAGTGCTGGTCTCTCTTGACATCCTGATGGAGCTTAACGTGTACCCTGATTCAACCTTCGTTGACAAGCTCCTCGTCACTTTGACTGGCTTCCAAGGAGACGACCGTTGCGAGTCATTCAACGCGACTGCCGTCTTCCCCTTCAGCGAGGCGTGCTGGAACCTGACGACCCACACCCTCAGCCTGTCTGTCGGCAGTTTCATCCCTAAGAGGACTTCGCTTCAATTCGCTCTCGGCTCTAATTTCGTCAAGTTGCCGGTGGACGGCCTTATCGAGAACTATCAGGCCCTCAAGATCTCAGTATCAGCCCTTGATGGCAACGTCCTTCCCACAGCCTTCGAGCGGTCTCCCGCGGTCGGAGTCTTCAACAACCCCGTCCTCCGCTTCTCTCCGGCGTACGCTGGGCGATTCACGACTCTCACCATGTCCTTCGTCGCAGGGATGGGCATGCTCTACGGGGAGACCGTGACCCTCCACCTTCCAGGATTTTCAGCGAAGCCATCGTCAACGACTATCTCGACGCTGAGTCAGAGGTTCGCCTTCGTGAGCTGGCAGGCAGAGACAAGCTCTCTTGTGTTCACTGTTGAGTATCCTTTCAGCAAGGGGGAGCAGATACGAGAAATCCTTTCCAGCGCTGACCTGACACTGCCGATCGACGGAGTCTACGCAGACAGCAAACTGATTCGGATCTCTTCAAACGCGCGTTCAGGGCCTGTGATCCCGACCCCCTTCGTCGAGGGAAACTTCGATCCAGTGGGCTACTTTAAGTTCTCTCGCCTCCATGTCGCTCCTCCATCAACCTCTCTCAGCGTGTCCCTGACTATCTCCTTCATCTCTATCGTTGACCTTCAGCCCAACGCTGTCGTCCAGCTCGACCTTCCCGGTTTCACGGTCTCAGGCGCTGTCTCCCATCACAACGAGACTGGTCCGACAGTCACTTCAATCCAATGGAACTCTCAGATCAGCAGGTTGTCCATCGTGCTGGGGCAGGTTGTCTACCACGACGCCTTGACATCCATCAAGTTCTCAGCTGCTCAGCTGATCAAGATCCCAGCTGGGGGCCTGGCGGCCAACGAGCCCTCCCTCAAGATCTCATGCGTTCAGAGCGTCGGGGCCATCCTTCCCACTTCCATCATGTACTCCCCGGGTATCGGCAGCAACGGGAAGGCCGTGGACGTGCAACTATTCTTTGACCAAAAGGGTCCCATCGCCGGGATGATTTCCCCGATGAAGATTCAGTTCGTCGCCAACGTGTCTCTCTTCCCCTCTGACACCATTCTTCTCACTCTCCCTGGCTTCTCTTCGGCCTCCGTCAACGTCTCCGTCCTCGTCGTCACTGATTGGTACGGCGGGCAGTCCCAGGAAACCGTTGCTAGCTGGATGTCAGCACAGTCCAAGCTGGAGCTGAACGTCCCTCTGGAGCTCCCAGCGTCCTCCTTGGTCACTCTCTCGCTCCTTCAGGGGCTCATCCTGCCCCAGGACGGACTCCCAAAGGACAAGATTGGGCTGAAACTGCAAGCCTCCGCCGTGGCTGGAGACATCCCAGTCACTGACATAGGAAGGTGGCCGGCGATCGGCTCGGTCGTCTCCAGCCTGTCGTTCGATCCTCCTCGCGCCGGAGTGTCCTCCTCGATCATTTTCCACTTCACCCCGTCGATGACCATCTACAAGGACGAGACTTTGAGTTTGAAGCTCCCGGGCTTCAGGAGGAGCTCGCAGGCGCAGCTGGACATCAGCCCGCCTTCGGTCTTCGTCAACGGCAGCTGGTCGGAGAGGGACATGGAAGTCAGGTGGAGAGCAGCCGAGGACATCGCGATGTACTCAGCCCTGACCTTGACGATCGGAGTTGATCAAGGGATCATCACACCTGTCGATGGCATCATGACCAACGACTCAGCCTTCACTGTCTCCATCAACGCCAGTGAAGGGCAGGTCTTCTCGGCTCCAGTGTCAGGTGTGCAGGGGATTGGATCCTTGGAGCAGGTGTCTGCCTTCTTCTTCCCCAAGGACCGGAGCATGTACCTCGAGATCAGCTTCGCCATCAAGTCAAGGAAAGTGATATTCAAAGACGATAGTCTCATCCTCCTTCTGCCGTTCCTGGGCCGAGCGAGCGGCAACCAGCAGATCTCTCTGGCAGGAGAGGACTCAGCTTCCTTCCAAGCGCTCTGGGGAACCAGTTCGTGCGGCAACGGCAGTCAGGCGGATCAGAGTTGTCCTTGCAAGTATGAGGAGGTCAAAGGCTTCGATCAAAAGTTTCTCACTCTCTCATCTCTTGGCAACCTCCCACTCGGACGGGAAGTGAAGTTGACAATCACTGCAGACTCAGCACTCATGGTTGATCAAGTGTCAATGGTTTGGGCGACCTCCAACAATTTCTTGGTGGGCTGCTCCAGGTATGGAGATCTAGAACCGATTAACAACCTCAACTTGACTGGAATCCTATCGACGTCGCTCAACTTCGGCGACAAGGTTTCTCTCTCTCCAGTAAACTTCTCGATCTCCTTCGAGAGCGATATCTCCTTTGACGTCAACGACACGCTCAGACTCCATCTCCCTGACTTTTACAGCGAGGGCTCCTGTCAAGACCCTCGGACGTTGACGATCTCGATCTCAGGGCAGAGCATGAAGCATGCCTTGTCTGCTTGTTGGGCCAACTCGACTTCTGAGCTCCTGATGACCTTCGAGTCTCACGTTCGTCTTCTCGGCAACTCTTCGGTCTTCATCTCGTCAAGTGTGGGGATGGTCATTCCCCAGGCAGGCATCCGAAGGCTGAGTTGTTACACACTGCAAGCCTTCACCTCCCGTTATGGCAACTTCTCCTCTTGCATCACTCACGTTGTCCCGATCGGCAACTTCCTCCGGAGCGAGGTCGGGTTCTATGGCTCTGTCTCGTCCTCGTCGTTGCTGTCGGGCATCAACAGTATCGGAGTTGTCGTACAGCCAACGATGACAATCCTCAGAGGTGAATCGATCACAATCACCTTCTACGACTTCAAGAACGTCTCGGAGCGGGCCGACGGAGTCTTGCCCTCGAACGGGACTGACTGGACGGTGATATGGGACGAGAACAGGGGCAAGATGAGGCTGGTGGCAAACGAAACCATCTCGGCTTTCTCTGTCGTCGTGCTGACTATCAACGTGTCTGTCCTGATCAAAGTGCCGATAGAGGGCGTGAGGGACGGGGACACTCGTTTCAACATCAACTCTGACGCACAGGACGGGCCTGTCCTGTCGGCCCCTCTGACCAAGATCCAGGCCATCGGGTCTTTCTACAACGCGGATCCCAACAAGAATGTCAACATCGTCTTCACCCCACCTGTTGCCTACAACTCTCGTTCACAGGTCAAGACCTCATTGCAAGCTTCCTTCACCCCGACCATGAAGATCGCCCCCGGCGAACTTGTTGAGCTCTTCCTGCCAGGGTTCCAGGCCACCCCGTCCCAGTTCACCGTCACCTCCACGAACCTGCGCTTCATCCAAGCTTCATGGCAAGGGAGCCTCTCGATCCTCAGCTTGACAGCGCAGAGCTCAGTCGTGATAGGGGAATCCGTCGTCGTTACTGTCCCTCAGTCCGTCGGCTTCAAGATCCCAGAGGAAGGGATCGCTAGAGGAAAAATCTACATCAAGTGCAACGCTCTCGATGGACCTGTTCCCTTCTCTCCCGTCCAGTACACTCCCATCGGCTCCTTCGCCGGCACTTCGTGGCTGGACTACGGAAACAAGAGGGCTGGAGAGCTTTCCGACCTCTTCTTCCGCTTCCGGGCTTCCATGAAGATCTTCCAGGACGACTTTGTGCGACTTTCCCTCCCGTCCTTCACCCTTCTCCCTGGTCAGATTTCTGTCGTAGACCCCCAGCACTACATCACTCGAGCGTCGTGGTCGACGAGACTTCAGATCCTTGAGTTCACAGTCGTGCAGGAGATCCCAGCCAACGTCTCGATCTCGCTCTCAGTGTATCACTCCGAATCGGGCCTCGTGCTCCCGGTCTACGGGACGAACCTCAACAACGGAGACATCAAGATCTCCTGCACCAGCTCGGACGGCCCGATCCTCCCGACCCCAGTCTGGCAGTCTCCCGCTGTGGGGACTTTCCTGTCCTCGACGACCTTCCAGGTGATCCCAGGGCAAGTGGGAGTGGCTAACGTGATCTCCTTCTCCTTCACTCCTCATCTCCCGATTCAGCAGGGGGACCATGTGGTCTTAAATCTGCCTCTGTTTGAGAGGTCTGAGGTATACCAGGACCAGATCCATTCTTCGGAGATCGTAACCGTCCCCGAAGGCTTCGCGTCGGGGGCGAGTTGGGACTTAGCAACCAACAACATGGTGCTGACCCTGGCAAAGGACGTCTTCCAGTCAAACCTCAAGGTGGAGATCAAGAACTTCAAGCTCCCTGCTCGGGGCTTGCTGACTCACACCTCCTCCTGCGGGAGCTTGATAGACCGCAGTGTCTTGGACACCTATCTCCCCAACATCAGCACTGACGCCGTCCTTGGACCGGTCCTGCCCATCAGAATCAAGCAGATCAGCCCAGCTGGTGCCTTTACAACCTTCGGACTTACGTTTGCGCCCCTCCGTGCTGGGCATTCAGTCGAGATCACCATAGTATTGACCCCAACCATGCCGATCGAGTCGGGGTCGTTGTTCCATATCTACCTTGGTGGGTTCAACGGAGGAGCCACGAGCGGAAATCTCGTATCCACTTCCAACGTCCCTTTCTCCTTCATCTGGGACCCCTCGTCCGAAATGCTGGATTTGACTGCCAATCAGTGCATCAACCAGAACGTCGAAGTTACCCTCGTCGTGCCCGAGTCGATCGGAATCACTCTCCCTCAGCTGGGAATCACTCTGTCCGCGGGTAAGATGAACGTTTCTTGCTCTGCTCCAGCAGCTCCTATCCCACCCACCCCCATCACGGACTACACTCCTGTTGGGTTCTTCTATGAAACTTCCCTCCGCTTTGACCCCCCGCAAATCGGCTCCTCCCCCTCTATAACCGTCTCCTTTGTTCCGACCATGAACCTGCAGCCCAACGACAACATTGTTCTCCGTATTCCTGGGCTTGATGGAAATGACGGGGCGAGCATCAACGTACAGGTCCTCGAAGGCCCAGCTGGAGGGATCAATGAGGCTAGCTGGAGTCAGACGAGCCCCGACTATTCCTTCGTCCTCCCCGTCCAGACGAATATCCCGGCATTCACCAAACTGACCCTGCGCATCGCGCAATCGTCGGTCACAATCTCGAGCAGGGGGAACGGGCTCAACGACCAGGCCAACACCCTGGCGTCTTCAGCGACGGATGGAGAAGTTCCGATCAGCCAAGCAATTCCAATAGAGAAGTCAGAGGAAGTGAAGCAGTACGGCTCGGTCAACGTCTCTTCCATCCGGTTCTCCAAGGAGCCCAGGGCAGGCATGCCGACGGAGTTGTCAGTCGTGATGGCCTTTGACGTGTTGACCTATGTGGACGACAGTCTCTTGATCAAACTCCCAGACTTTAGGCTCAGCAACAGGTCAGACCTGCAGGCTCTGACGCTCGAGGACAGCGAGCGCTCGATCACGGTCAGCGAGTCAACGGAGGGAGTGGAGATCACGTTTGTGAACAAAGTCTACCGGGACCCTTACTTCAGCTTCTCCTTCGTAATCCCCGATGCAGCAGGTATCTTGCTGCCGGAGAAGGGGGTGAACGAGGCATCTTTCATCTCCCTCCAGGGGAATCTGTCCGCCGGTGAGATACAGCAAGTCCTCTTCCGTGACATCCAGTACATCGGTTACTTCAAGAATAACACTGCCCTTAGCTATATCGAGCCCATGGCCCCCAACAGCATCTCTCAGGTCCCCGGCAACGTTCAGGTGCGACTGGAGCTGACGTCAAGACTGATCCCCGGCGACAAGATCAGCATCATCCTCCCTGGATTCTCGGTGCTCGAGAGCCCATTCCCCGTCATCGTGTCCTCCTCCGAGACCCAAGCTGTGGGAAGCTGGAACAAGACGGAGGAGATGTTGACCTTCGAGTTCTTCGCCGATGTTCCTGGGAACACCATCTTCACCTTGACGACGAACGCCAGCATCATCATGCCGCACAATGGCGTCACGGCCGGCAGCCGAAACTTCACAATCTTCTCGTCTGCAAAGTACGGGCCCGTTCCGAGGATCCCCCCGACCTTCGTGACCGAGTACCAGCTGTTGGGATCGTTCATGGACACTACTGTCCTTCGCTTCTATCCAGCCAAGGCTGCGGATGTCTCTTCTCTGTTCTTCAGCTTCCAGGCTGTGATGCCCCTTGCGCCGGGAGAGCTCATCGTTCTCAAGCTCCCCAAGTTCTATGGCGCCAGCGTCAACGGCTCGGTGACGGCGACCAACGGGTCCATCACGTCTGCCAGCTGGGAGAACAGCACGATGCAGCTAATCTTTACAGTGGACTCGGAGATCTCAGCCTTCTTCAAAGTAGATGTCAACATCTCTAGTTCGTTCGGGATCATCGTCCCTGACGACGGCATTCGGCTCAACCAACCCAACCTTGGCATCAGCACCAACGCTGCCAGCGGCCCGGTGAGTAAGCATCCTCTCACTCCTTTCGTTAGTAGCCAGTCGATCGGATCGTTCTTGGACTCGTTCGTCCTCAGTTTCAACCCTCCCATGGCAGGCGCTCCCGTTCAGATCTCTATCTCATTCGTCCCGGAGATGATGCTGGTGGTCAAGGACACTATCACCGTCTACCTCCCTCTCTTCCTTGGCGTCTCCGGACCTCTCTGCGTCGGAATCTCCAGTAGCGACCCAGCTAGGTTCGAGAGGGCTTCTTGGAACCAGGCCCTGGAATCGTTAACCTTGACAGTCTCACGAGAAATTTCCATCCACGAGAACATCTCAGTGATAGTCCCTTCCTCCTCCGGTCTCATGCTCCCGAGCACGGGGCTCCTTGGAGGCATCGACATCCGCCAACCACGAGTGGCAGCCATCGCTGTGGACGGCTCCATCCCCATCCAGCCCATCACGTACATACAACACTTCCCGAGGATCGGAGCCTTTGAGTACAGCCACCTGGCCTTCGATCCGGAGAGATGCTCCAACAACAACATCAGCGCACTTGAGCTTTCGTTTGTGGTCACGATGAGAATTGACGAGGGCGAGCACGTTAGGTTGAAGCTCCCGCTAAGGGGCACCTTCCTTGAGTCCTGCAGTTCTTGCTGCATTGAGAACTTCACCTCCTTCAGCCATGGCCGCGTTGACCTCGGCGATTGCACCCAACCCTCTGACCCTGGCGCGAATGGGACAGGTGGGAATCAGAGTATCGTCCTACCAATCTTCTTTGTGTTCAATCAGTCTGTCGGCGCTCGAGAGAAAATCACGGTCCGAGTACCTCTCCCAGCTGGAGTATACCTGATGAGGGACGAGCTGGACGAGACGTCCTTCCAGCTCTCCTGCAACGCGAAGCAAGGGCTGATCTTGGACTCTTTCCCTCTCGTTGTCAGCGGGCTGGCCCCCTTGCAGTACCCAGTCTCTGTTCGACTGAACGACAGCAGGGTCGGGTATGACGCCGAGGTCGAGATCGTGATGAGATTTGACGTCGACTTGGAGCCTCGCTCCTCCGTACAGCTCGAACTGCACGGTCTCCAGCGCTCCGACTGCAACGATACATGTCAAGTACCGCTGGCTGGTCTGTCTGCCGGCCTCTTCTCTGTCGACAGAGTCTGTGACGTCACCACAAGACGTACTCTCCTCGGCTGCGGCTGGGGCATCGAAGACATTGCAGACTTGCAGATTGCAGATTGCGCCTCTTTCCTCTGCCCCAGCTACTGCCCTGCTCCGGCTCTGTCGCCGACATGCCCGTCAGAAAGCGCCTACTTCAGTCTGGACAACCCCCAACAGAAGGTATCGTTATGTCAGGCTGGTATCGGCATGAGCAGGTGCTTGAAAGACGGGTTTGCCTTGAACGCCCAGAGATTGGACCCATCGGCCTCTTGCCCGGATCAGATTGGGGGGGCGACGGCACAGAGCCTATCGATGTACAACTCCTCCTCCTTCCTGTTCGAGCCCTACACTTCGACCGTACACGAGGCCCTCTGGTTCCCCTCCAACGAGACCCTCTTGTTGACGGTTGGGAGGAAGAGCATTCCGCGCGGGACCCTCCTGAAGTTGTACTTGTCAAATTTCAACACGAGGATCGTCGGTCGTTCGAACTTCTCGACCACAACCTCTCTTGTCTACACGTCTCAAGTGCAGTGCAAGGACTGCCGGCCGTTCCGGCATGCCGCCAGTGGCCCTTACGTCAATAACGTTACCAACTCGTCCATCACTTTCAACCCCATCAATGCAGGAGAAGCCGCAGCAATCATCATCGCCTTCGTCCCTGCGTTTGACATCGTTGCGCAGGAGTACTTCTTGATCCACTTGCCAGGTTTCACTGGCGAAGCTATCTCTCAGATCGCAGGCTTGCAAGGGTCCTCGAAAGACCTAGTCAACATTCAGTGGCTTCCAGTCCTCCAACGGTTCAATGTCACTGTGAGGTGTGGCCAAGTCGTCAAGAAGGATCAACTCTTCCACGTCGAAGTCCCTTCCTCTGCTGCCCTCCTGCTCCCCTTCCCCGGGATCAGGACCAGGAACGTGCATGAGTTTACTGTTACCTTCTATACCTCCTCGATCAAGCCCTTCCCCTTCTACTTCGATTTCGTCTCTACCATCGGAAGGTTCGCCTACTCCTCCCTGCACTTTTCCTCTCCGGTCGCCAACCAGTCTGTCGACGTCATCTTCTCCTTCACTCCCGGCATGGATATCGGCTCCGGCGAGTCTGTCGTCTTCTCGCTGCCGGAGTTTGCATGGGAGGGAGATGAAGTCCAAACGGTGAGCGAGGGTTGCGAGGTGAACTTCTCCTCCTGGGATCCTTCAGTCAACGAAATCTCTTTCCTCGTGTTCTCCAAGATCCCTTCCTTTCAAGGATGCTCCATCAAGCTCGACCGCTCGTCCAAATTTCGGTTGCCGACCTACGGGGTCCCTTTCAACGTCTTCGACTTCAGGGTCTCAACCAACTCCCGCGACGGGGCGGTGAGGAACGCGCGCGTAGACTTCGTACAGCCCGTCGGAGCTGTGATGGAGAGTCTGATCTACTTCGAGCCTCCGATAGCAGGGGAGAATGTCAACATATCAATGCAACTCAAGTTCAGCATGCCCTTGTTCCCCGGCGAGACATTCACTGTGCTCTTGCCTAGCTTTCAGGGCTCCTCGCTGTCCCCTCTCTCCCTCCATGTGGAGCCAGCTGCCAAGATCTCTACATCTTCTTGGAACTTGACCACGTCCACTCTTACCTTCACAGTCGCTGACTCCTGTGCCGGGCCCACCATCCTTGCAGGTACCCGGATTTTCATCAAGGTCCTCAACGCTTCTGGACTGTACCTACCGGAGTCCGGCGTCAGACGCCAGCAGCACGGAATCCTGATCACGGTCAACGCGGCCCAGGGCCCGGTGTCGAGTGTCAGTCCCGCGCTAGTCAGGCCCGTTGGATCTTTCTTTGCCCGGTTGCGATTGGAGGAGAGGTCGCCTGAGCTCAGGTTTACCCCGACCCTACCAACGACGATGACTCTGTTCCTCCAAGTGCCCATGGAGCTGAACAATGGCGAAACGATCCGTCTCGACCTCCCCAATTTCTACTCCTCGTCCTCCGAACAGAGGATCATCCGAGTCGGCAGTCTCCCTCCAGAGGTGGTGACATCGGCGATGTGGGATCCCGTCGGGCAGAAGTTGGAGTTTCTGATAGGAGCCAACCTCTCTGCGCACTCGAGCTTGACCCTTGAAGTCCTCGCCAACCAGGGTCTCATACCGCCCAAGGTGGGGCTCGAGTGGAACCAGTCGGGTTTCTTCATCTCCTGCAATGCTACTGACGGCCCGGTGCTCCCGATCCAAGTCCCTCGCTCCAATCCTGTCGGGATGATCTACGGGTCGACGAGTTTGGACAGCGCCCCTTACGTCACCTTCGAGCCTCGGTACGCAGGAGCTGTCGCCAACCTGTTTCTTCGCTTCGTCCCTACCATGAAGATCTTGGAGGGAGAACTTATCATCTTACAGCTCGATTCCTTCGGAGGGGACAGCAATACGAACATTACCCTACAGTTCTCTCCTCACCTTCAGAACGCTACCTGGAACTTGCAAACTAAGACTCTGGTAATGATCGTCTCACAGCGGATCGACCCGCTCGAAGTTATCGAGGTTGTTGTTGGTACTGACGCTGGGATCAGTTTACCAGTGAACGGAATCAGGAAACAGCAGAATTTCACCATCGCCAGCAACGCATTCTACGGCCCTCGGACCCCTGTCCCCATCCACGTCGACACTATCGGGTCAATCTTGTACGGGCCCACCATCAGGTTCGAGACGGTTTTGGACCCTCACCTGATGCGGCATTTGGGTAAGGCTGGGGAAGCAGCGGACATCTTCGTTTCTCTCGCCCTCTCCATGGATTTGGCGATGAGGGAGACCATCACGTTTCCCTTGCCCAACTTCCAAGGGGACTCGTTCGTTGACTTCCCAGTCGTCTCTGACAGGAACCTGTCGTTCAACGTGTCATGGAACGCCTCTGACTCTCTGATTGTCGTCGACAGCCAAGATGACGTCCCGGCAGAGACCTTGATCAGTTTTGTGCTGCCAAGAACTCTGGGCCTAGTGATACCGGTGGTAGGAGTGCGGGAGAACCAATCTAATTTCTGGATCGCAGTAGCCAGTGATGATGGTCCTATCTACAGGTCAGGACTCTACTCTAGCACCGTATACAACATCTCCATCGCTGTCCAAACAGAGCAGACTTCTTTCTCCAATGTCTTCCCAGTGGGTTCCTTCGTCTACCCCAGACTGTTCCTCCTGCCGCCCGTCGCTGGGCAGTATGCAGCGCTGCTGATGATGATTGGAGTGAGGATGCACATTAGAGCAGCAGATGAGATGTTTCTTGAGTACAGCTTGATCGACTTTGAAGCTCAGAACTTTACAGGTGCCTGCCTGTATGAAGATGGTACAAGAGCTGAGCTGGTGGGGACGGTAGATAGAGCACGAAGCCTGTTGACGTTCGTGTTCTCAGCCGATGTGCAGATCGATACGAATGTCAAGATTTACGTTGATCCATCCGCACGGATCAAGATCCCCGTCGGTGGGATGTATCCCAACCAGACCAGTTTCAAGATCTTGACATCTGCGTTCAACGGTCCCGTCCCCTCCACCGACTTGCTGTTCGCACAATCCGTTGGCATCGTTATGGACACCTCTCTCTCCTACTCTCCGCTAATCGTGAACGCGGTGGTGGAGGTTGAGGTAAAGTTCACAGTCACCTTCGACCTGATCAGAGGAGACAGAGTTTTTATCTACCTTCACGGCTTCCAGCGCCAGGACTACTCGAAGCAGGTCGAGGTTGCAGCAGCGATGCAAGACGTCTTCCATCCTGACTGGATCACCAACTGCAACAGCACAGGAATAGCTCTGACAGTGCTCAACGCCTCCGTCCCCTCGATGCAGCCAATCGTCGTCAAGTTCCTTTGGCAAAATGGAATCATGTTACCCCATCGGCCTTTGAGGAGGGATGAAAATGTTTCGACAATATCTGTCATGTCAAGGAACGGAAACATCCCTTTCACTCCCATTCTCAAGAACCCTCCTGTTGGCTCCTTCTCCGACGTTTCCATCGTGTTTTCCCCTCGTATCTATGGAAGTCCTACTGATATCAATGTTTCCTTCACCCCGAACATGGACTTGAGCCCAGGGGATGTTGTTGTTGTCAAGCTCGCTGGTTTCTCCGGGGCTGTTTGCCATGAGTTTCCTGTGACGTCTCATCCTCACAAGCTTTTCTATCATGCTAGCTGGAATCCTCAAGAGCAAACTCTCTCGTTCAACGTGTCTGCTGCTTTCACACCTGTTAATGATTCCTCCTTCGCATCACAAAACGCAAGTTGGGTTTTCGTCTCCTCCTCCCACTGTTCGATCATCGTACCCAAGGCAGGAGTTGGCTCAAATCACACTTTCACCATCAGGACAGATGCTAAAGAAGGCCCAGTGCTCGAGCGAGCTATCCTGAATTATTCGTTTATTGGCTCAGTCAACTTCGCTGGTTTGTTGTTCTTGCCGCCGATTGCTGGAGAGACAACCACGATCAAGTTTGTGTTCTCTGTGAATGTGAACATGAACAAGGGAGAAACAATCTTGCTGCGATTGCAAGGCTTGTCCGGCCCCTCAAATTCCTCTCTGACCTTGTTTTCTCTACCTGACAGACTCTTCTCTGAAGCTACATGGAGCCAGTCGCTGGGGACGATGCGGCTTGTAGTCAACAATACGATCTTACCAGACCAACATGTAACTGTCTGGATCCCGTCGGAATCTGGGATCACGCTACCTGCTACTGGGTTTGCTCTCAACAATGCAGCTTTCACCGTCTCGTTCGACGCCACTGCTGGGGTGATACCATACCATCAACTTGTCAACTCCACACAGGTTCCCTTTGCGGCTGTTCCCATCGGCCTCTTCTCGGCGCCTGTGTGCGAAGTTCCCGTCCTCCGGTTTGAGCTGCTCAACGCTGACCGTCTGGTTCAGCTCTTCATCAAGATCTGCCTCAGGCGGCCCAAGTCAGGATACGTCATCAGCTTGATCCTGCCGGGCTTCGTTGGGCCTTCACTTGAAAACCTTCTTATCAGCACCCCCCAGCCCACCACGAGCTTCAACATGACGTGGGTGTACGAACGCTCCTGCACCCGCGTCTGTATGAACAACAGTTGGACGAACCAGACGTTGGCGATTGACTTTCCTTCCTGTATGCCCAGCACTGTGCTGGAGTACGTCTCCTGCTCCGACACCTGCGAGGAGCACAATGAGCTGCGTCTCGTGTACGAGAGCGCTGAGTCAGCATCGGACATGCAGGTCGGGTTGAAGCACTTTGACCTGATGATCCCCAGCAGCGTTGGGATCGTGCTCCCCAAGACTGGGATTCCAGCTGAATGGAAGGAGGGGGCAATGTTTGTGTACGATGATGCCATGAAGAAGTTTGCGGTCCCAATGAGAATCGAGCCGCTCGGAAATTTCATGGTCAGACCAGAAATCTCGCTGGATGCTGCTGATGACCATTCTCCGATCCAGCTCACGCTCGCTTTCTCGCTCTCGTTCCCGTTGTACGAGTTTGACACAATCAAATTGGTCTTGCCGTTTGTAACTGCCGATGACATGCAAGGGATCAGGGTCTTGGTTGACGGACAAGATAGAATGCGAGGGCGTTGGTCCGACTCTCAACTGACTCTTACTCTCATGGAAGGCTCTTTCCACACGGAATCCTGCATGCAAACTACTCTCTTCATCCCCCCGGAAAATGCTCTCTACTACAAGTACGGGATAGAGGCGATTGAGACCACTTCGATGATCACTGTCCTTGCAAAGTATGGCGTGGTGGAGAATTTGACATTTCCGGTAACGAGCCTGGGATTTTTCAGCCACCCCTCGTTCATATACCCTGTTCCTTTCAATCCTGGATTTCCCTGCACCATGTACTTGGGATTTCTTGCTGGCATGAAGCTCTCCAAAGGATCTGTCGTGAACTTTGAATTCCAGAATTTCTCCTTGTCTGGGGGGGAATGCTTCCCCATCCAATCCTACCCTCTTGGCTTCTTCACCTTCGCTTCTTGGAACCACAGCACGTCAGTGCTGACTACTACTTGCGAGCGAGACCTGGAGCCCTACAAGCGCGTCATCGTTATCATCCCTTCCAAGTCCGGGTTGAGCCTCCCACCCGACGGCCTGTCTGCACAGAGCAACCCTGTAACTATCAGTGCCCACGGGGCCCATGGCAAATTCCTCAAGCACGCCATCAGCAGCTTTCCGACTATCGGCAGCTTCCAAGTCAGCACCCTCAAGTGGGACCCAAGACCCAACACCGATACTTACATCCAGTTTGAGTTCAGTCCCAACATGCCGCTCCTGAGGGGAGAGCACGTCTACGTCAGCCTCGAGGGGTTCGAGAGAGCAGGAGGAGACGGCGAGCCTGTTGTGGAGTCTTCCGGGCACTACACGCATCGACAACTCCCTGACTCCAAACTGCCCACTCAATACATCTGCAGCCCTTGTGTCTCTAACGAGTACCAGGACGGCAGCTCCCTTGCAGCCGGCTACTACCGCGGGGTCTGCGGCAAGGGAGGGGTTGAGCTCCGCAGAGCCATGCACGATCGTATCAGGAGGACGCACCAGCGCCCAGCGGGCTCAGCGGCATCGATGGCGAAGCTGTTCGAGATGGAGAGGAGGGTCGCTGAATGGGGGCCAGTGCGCTCGATCTACAGCGGCAGGGTGCTCAACTTCAGCCTCGACAACTCCTCATGGAAGTTCACCAACTTGTGGTCGAGGTCGATGGGATCGGAACCTTACTGCGGTGAAGACTCTGACAGCGTGCTGTTCCCTCCCTCGCTGGACTTCCACAATCGCTACCCCAGCGAGGTCTCTCTCAACCGTCTGCTCCACGAGCCCGAGCTGTACCGAGCCACCGAGGGCCGGTACTACAATAAGACGGCAATGCTCTTTGACATGTGCGATGACAGCTGCATGGCGGACTTTGACCTCAAAGTGCGCTACAGCTCAGAGTGGAGCGTCTCAACTGACCTCTTTGAACCTCCGGCGCAAGTCAGGGGAGATATCGCGAGATCCTTGCTATACATGTCGTTGAGGTACGACGGAGAAGATGGTGAGGCGAATCTCGACCTCAAGGGTTTCAGTCCTGATGAGCAAACCCGTTGCTGTTTCTCGGACCAGTCACAGTACGGCTGCTTCCGTTCAGACTGCTACATGGGTCAGCTGCCCACCCTGCTGAGGTGGAACATAGAGGACCCGCCGAGTGAAGTAGAGATGATGAGGAACGATCTGATCGAAGAGTACCAAGGCAACAGAAACCCCTTCGTCGACTTCCACCAGCTTGCCTGGTTGCTTTACGACCCAATCAGTCTCAACTCCAGCGAGTATCTCTCAGACTGCGGAAGAGACAACTCAAGCATGGCAAACGCCACCTGGTCAGCTGCCAGCTCCACCTTGCGGCTCGTGGTGAACCGCCCGATCGGCAGGGGAGATCATGTATCTGTTATGATACCCAAGAGCGAGGGGTTCAAGACCCCAGCCTTCAGCATAGCAGGCAGCAACCAGTCTTTCAAGGTGTGGACCGACGCGTCCAGCGGCCTCGTCTACCCCGTCGCCCTCAAGGCTTCCCAGCCCGTCGGGATCTTTGCGCTGAGCCCGAGCTTGCAGTTCAGTACCCCCGCGTTTGCCAACGAAGTCACAGACCTCAAGTTTGGGTTCTCCCTTGACATCGACTTGATACGAGAGGACTCGCTGCAGTTCATCCTCCCAGGGTTTCACGTCAACCAGGTGGCAGAGCAGGCCGAGGTCACGGCAGCTTGTAACGCTGAATGCGTGAGACTCTGCTCTGACCCTTTGAGGTACGCCGGAGCCCTCATGCAGCAATGCGAGAGTTTCTCGTTCTTCAACAGCTCCCAGGATGTCTGTCAGCAACGCTGCAACGCCTCCTGCACGAGCCTCAACGACGTACACGAAGGCCTCAACGTGACTATGTTGGTGACGAGCACCTGTGCTGCAGTCTACATCTCTCCCGAGAGGAACTTCTCTGCAAGGGAACAGATCAGCTTCACCGTCTCCAGCTCGTACGGGGTAAGGCTGCCGAGCTCTGGCGTACCGCTATCAGGTCACAACATCACGCTCCGACTGCTCCATCTGTCACCTTGCAACTGGACAACGAACTCCAGCTGTGGGACTCTACGAGACTTTTACACAGAGCTCCAAGGTCAGGAAAAATTCCAATCACCAGCCGTCTCGCTGCCATGGATCTTCATAGAGCCGCAGTCAGTCGCTGCCTTCGAGTCTGCAACGCTCAGTTATATCCCCCGGGTCACCAGCCAACCGGTCAAGCTCAAGTTGCAGTTCAAGACTTCAGTCCAGTTGTTCGCCTACGACAATATTTTCCTCAGGCTCCCTCACTTCCAGAAGACGCAGGAGTCTGTCAACACAGAGCACGTAGTCTTTCAAGAGGCAAATTTGTCGAGTGCAACGAATTTCCAATTCGTCGAAACTCCCGCGGAAAACCTGTTCCCGTTCCTGCAGACAAACTTCTCGAAATGCAGCAAAGGGTTTGAATGCTCTGTTCAAGACGCAAGTTTGGTTCTTTCCACCTTCAACAACTCAAACGACACAGTAGCCGGGCAGCGCGTGTCTTGCGACTCGACAGTTGTCGGCAAACCTCCAGCTCTCCTTGAGCTGGAAGCTTTGCTCGCTGACTTCGTGCAGCAGGCAGGCAACACAACGTTGATCCCTCGAGTCTCGCCTGTGGTCAACTACACCGTCACATGGTCGACCTGGTGTTCTACCGACATGCTGGTCATCACGATTCAACCTGGGTTCTGCTTCAACCGAGGAGACGAGGCGAGCTTTGAGATCCCATCTAGTCTCGGCCTCATGCTTCCTGAAGCCTACCTGCCGGAGAACTCTCCCACGCTCATGATCGGAACGGACGCTGCGGACGGAACTCTTAGTATGAGACCTGGGTCGCTTTCTAGCGGAGCGGTGGTCTCCATGAACTGGGTGACAGCGGGAAAACAGCCCGTAGTCTCCTTCGACCCTTCCTCCCCTGGCTCCATCACCACCATCTTCGTTCAGTTCAGCCCTGACCAGAATCTGATCCCCTCCGACCTCATCACCATCTGGCTGTACAACATGTCGGGCCCGACCGACCTCTGCTTCCGTCCGCAAAGTTCAATTCCTCCCGACGTCTGCACGTCCACAGCATGGGAGGCAAGGCAACAGCGACTGGACCTGCGCATCAGCGACTATGTCAACGCGGGCACGCAGGTTTCCATTCTGATCGCTACCTCTGCCAACATCAGGATCCCGCTAACGGGCATCACGGTGGCGAATATCAGCGCTGAGACTTCAAGAGGGTTCTTAGATCCTGTTCCAGTGATTCAGCTGAAGAAAGTGGGAACCTTTTCTAGATCGTACGCCGTGGCAACGCCGCTCAAGTATGATGAGGCGATCGAGCTGAGCATCTTTGTGTTTGCAAACTTTGACTTCTTTGTTGATGACATCATGGTGATAGCCTTGACTGGAATCCACATGGACAACAACACGTCTACTGCAGCCATGACCTGTATCCTCCCGAACGAGAACTTCAAGCAGATCTCGTTTAAAGACAACACGATCAATGTTACATTTGCGCGTAACTTCAGCAATCACACGGCAATCAACCTTGTGCTCCCATCCATACTTGGCGTCAAGTTGAACGCAGACGACGGAGGAGTCATTTCCATGAACGTGTCAACCAAGGCGAAACACAGCATCATCACAAGTTATCCGGGGCTTCCTCTGCTCACAACGAGCAGAGTTGGATACTTTGTCAATGCAACTCTCCACTTTGGGAATGAACAGGATCAAAAGTTCTATAAGGTCAAGGTCTCGTTCTCATACTCCGACCACTTGCGAGCTGCCGATTTGATCGTTCTCAAATTTCCTTCGGCCCCGGGCAGCGCCGAAACTAGCCAGGTGACAGTGTCTCCTTCCAATGAATCGTTCACCGTGGAGAGTTGGAACAGCACAGAGATTGTTTTCAGTGTAAGACAACAAATCACTTCGTTCACGACAGCAGTGATCGAGATAGCATTCCACAACGGCTACTCTCCCAAGAATCCCACGTATTACGATTCCTACAAGTTGTCCGCCTTGGCAGTGTCGGCATCTTGTAACAATGGTGACTTCTCCTTTGTCGACCTCACTTTCGGAACCTTCAAACTTTTGCCTTCACTGGTCATCGTACCTGTTTCAAGCTGGGGCCTGTTCAGACTGGAGCTCAATTTCACTCTCTTGAGGACTGTCCGGACTTCAGATGTCCTGTTTTGTGCCTTGCCAGGGATCTCAGCAGTGAGCTCAACAACCGTTACTGATCCGCATCAAGTAAGAAATTTTTCTTTGACATCGTTGAATTGCAATTTGCATGACATCACAATGAATCAAACTTTGGAAGAGTACATGATCAAGATCGTTAACTTAGAACTCAGCGATGAGATCCTGTGCAACGTCTTCTACTACTTTCCGAATTCGACCTTCCTGCAACTGTCAAGGTCTGTGAACCCTAGGTTTGTTGACGTGGCATCGACAGTGAACTCCACCTCCAACGAGGACCTCTCGTTTGCCAGCCAACTGAAACAGATTCGAGTTTGCACATGTCAGACAAACTTCACTGAGTGTTCTTGCCCGGCCTTTACAGGGATTTTGAACATTACACTAACAAGTGGAGGAGACCTTCCTGTCAACCAGGAGATCGTCCTAGGCTTGTCATTACCAGGCGTCAACAGCGGGTTCGAGGTCGATCACAAGTTCGTAGAAGCCAATGCGAAGTCCCTCCGTCTCATAGTGCTGGGCTCGTCTTCGCCCATCGCGCTGAACCAGACTCGGTTCATGACATTCGCCGAGATTTCTGAGTTCGTACCAAGGCAGGTTGGTGTTCCTGTTGCGATCTCTTTCAGCTTCATCCCAGCTTACACGCTCCAAGACTACGACACGGTGCATGTGCACTTGCCGCTCTTCTACTCTTCCCAGGAGATACTGGCTCACTCGCTCTCCGGTCCTGACGGGTCGAGGTTCTCGGCTAGGTGGAATCAAAACCTGAGCACGCTAGTCCTATGGCTGCATTGCGCGAATGACAAGGTGGAGGGAGGACAGCAAGTCAGCGTCGTTTTTCCGTCCTCGCTCGGAATCTACCTGCCAGTCAACGGCATCAAGACAAACTCGTTGGACCTGACCGTCGCTGTGTCAAGCTATCCTCCCAAGTCCATTGACTTCACTCCTGGGGTTGGGTACTTTGCTGATACCCGCATTGCCTTCAACCCGCCGAAGGCAGCGACTGTCTCCGCCATCATCTTCAGCTTCACTCCCTTGATGGACATCCCGTCCGGAAGTCAGGTTGTGCTGCACCTGCCGCAGTTCTTCACGAACGCAACGACGAGCCAGGTGATCAACGATCAGTTTTACTCGTACGAGTGGGTCCCTTTCGTGTACAAGATCGAGAACTTCACCTGCGCCACCACCGCCTACTTCTCAATCCCGAGGATCTGCTACTCTGACAATGGAAGCAAGGTCACTGATCACTACTGGACTGAGCGTAAGGTCAATATAACCAACACGCTGATCATCTCCTTCAAGTCTGCCAGACCCGCTAACCAGAAGCTTGAGATCACCGTCCCCGCAACCCTGCAGATGATGATTCCCCGACAAGGAATCTCGGTGAACCAGCAGCAGCTCAAGGTCTCCACGGCCAACTTCGACCAAGGGATCTATGTTCCCACCTCCATCATGAAGTCTCCTGGGATCTACCTCGCCGGGGACTTCTCTTTCTTCAACATGAGCTTCAAGCATTCGAACAAGCCGCAGATGGCAGGAAACCCCAGCGAGATCACCATTTGGTTCCAAGCGATCATGAACCTTGTTGGTGGGGATGAGATCTTCATCCGCCTCCCCTCCTTCTCTCTCGCTAGCAACCTCTCGCTGGTTCCGGTTGTCCCCAACACTCCTTACATATCTCCGGACGCCTCCTGGAACTTCAACAACGCCGGCCTGACGCTCACAGTCAGCAGCGAGATCGAGGCCGAGACTCCGATCCAGATCTGGATCTCCTCTACCTCAGGGGTGAGGCTGCCAGTCAAGGGGGTGGTCAAGAACCAGAGAAACATCACCATCTCCACCAACGCCGTGTCCGGGCCCGTCCTGGGCTACCCCATCACCTCATCGCCAGCCGTGTACCAGCAGGGCTCCTTCGACATCGCTGACCTTCAGTTTGACAGCATCGGAAGCATCTGCAGTTCGGTCTTTGGAGGTTTCGAGCCACCAGGATACAACAGCTCTAGAGTTCTAGACAGCATCGCCTGTCAGGAAAGCTTCCTGGGCAGGGGCAGGGCCAAGAGTATCACCCGAATCTACTTCAAGTTCAAGGCGAGGATGAGGCTGTATCCGACCGATGAAATCAGCCTTTACCTCGTCGGTTTCACCGGAGGGTACGGCAAGAGTCAGTTCCAGGTCAAGAGCACTCCCAACGGGACAGTGCTGAACGCCTCCTGGAGTAGGCAGCAGAACATCCTGACTATGACCGTCGCCGAGTTTGTGGAGGAGTTCACGCAAGTCGACATCGTGATCGGAGAGGAGATCGGTCTCTTCCTTCCGTCCACGGGCCTCAAGACAAACGACCAGACCCTCCTCTTGGGTTCAAACGCTGGCTCAGGACCTCTCACACCTCAACCAGCCCTCACCTGCACTCCAGTTGGATCCTTCGGCGTCTCCCCGACGCTGACCTTTTCCAACCCTCTCCCCGGCATGCCTTCGGACATCATATTCTCCTTCAGAGCCTCAATGAGGCTTCAGAGCCTCGAGACGATCACTCTTACTTTGCCTTTCTTCTTCGGCCCCAGTCGCCCAGTCATTTCTGCTCAATCAATCCCGAAGCTCTGCGATGCCAACTCCGACACCATCGGGTGCGGCAGCTATGTCGCTCAGGCCTCGTGGATACTCGAGACCCAACAGCTCGTCCTGACCGTCAAGTACGCGGCCAACATCCCAGCTGATACTGACCTCACGATCATCATGCCAGCAGACGCACAATCTGTCAGGCTCCCCGAGGAGGGGCTGGCGACTGACCTGCTGACCTTGCTGGTGAGCAGCGAAGCTTCTGACGGGCCGGTGCCTCCCACTCAGATCACCAACGTCCAACACGTAGGATTCTTCGGGGAGACGAGTCGACAGCTGCCTTGTGACCCTGAGATCAGCTGTCCCTTCCCCTTCTCCCCTCGAACCTCGGACGTCCTTCGCCCGATCATCTCTTTCGACCCTCCCAAGGCAGGGGACGTCACGGCCGTAACGCTACAGGTGCGCAACTACGTCGACCTGGAGCCAGGGGATCGGATTCTGATGACCCTCCAAGGCTTCGGAGGGGTCACGGGGCCTCTGACCTTAGTTTCATCGCTCAACGTCTCGGGGTCGTACGATGCGACAAGGTGGCAGGTTGAGATTATTCTTCACTCCAACGCCTCGTCAAATTCTCGATTCTCCATCGAAATCCCCCAGGAGAATGCGATTTCCCTGCCGCAGTCTGTCCTAGAGATCAACTCAAAGAAACTGCTCGTTACAATCATCAAGAGCGACAACACGGCATCGTCTCTGGTTCCCATCAGTGCAGCCATCGGATATCTCGACAGCTTTGCTGTTTCCTTCGACACTTGCGCAGATCTGACTGCTGCACAGAAGCAGAATATCCCAACCAGTTGCCAGTTCCTCTGCATCTTGAACTCAGCTTGCACACAGTACTGCCTCTCTCCCTTCTCCGCTGCATCCATCACCGTCTCCTTCTCCAACAGAATGGCATTCGTCAACGGTGACGTGCTGACTGTGACCTTTCCCGGGTTCGACGGAGAGGACTCTGAGTTTGTCCCGACGTCGTCAGGAGATTTCATCAGCAGAGGAACTTGGAGCAAGGCCGATCGAACTGTCAGGCTGTACGTGGGCTTGCCGATAGCAAGCGGAGCAAACAACCAAATCACCATCCCTATCACAGCGGGCATCACATTGCCTAGGAGTGGCTTGCTAGCAGACGACGCCAGCGGCATTTCTTACTCCATGACGGCTCGCAATGGAGTAGTCTTATCGACCAGTCGCCTGTCTTCGCCGACAGTCGAATCGATGATTTCTCGTTCAGAGATTCAATTCGTCCCGCCGTTACCCGGTACCGCCACTCAGATTGTCGTCAAATTCTATCCTGTCTCGGTCCGCGGACCCTCACAGACCGACTGCAGCCAGGAGTATGCGCTCGATGCTCAGAGCTGGGTAGCTGTGTACCTGCCCGGCTTCAAGATCGAGAATGAAAACCTTATCCTCAGTGGGCAGACGCTGGAACAAGTGCCCAATCCTTTCTCCAACAACAACGAGTCGTTGGCTATCAAGGTTGAATCCATCCCGATCGGTGCCATCGAACAGTCGCTCTGGTTCAACTCCTCGCAGATGCTCATGCTCCTGGTCGCTAAACCCATCCTTTCCGGTTCTCTCGTGCAGGTCACGATCCCGAAAAGTGCTTACATCATGACGCCCAAGGCAGGGCTGCAGATGAACGACCCTTCGCTGACCATTCAAGCGTACATCCCTTCCGTTGGGCGAGTGCCGGCGGTGTCAGTTCTGACTTCTGACATCGTCCAGCCTTATGCCGACGTCGTCGTCTCTAAGTTGGAAGCCATTCCTCCACAGACCAACGTCAACGTGCGACTTCGCGTCGGGTTTGCACTGAGCATCGACTTCAAGCCAGGAGAGGTTCTTTCTGTTACCCTTCCTGGATTCAGCGTTGCAAATGTCAACCAAGGCATCACCAACTTCGAGGTCTTGAGTGAACCGTACGTGTGCGAAGAGTATCCTCTCAGATGTGTCGGAAAGATCAGGCTTGCATCATGGAACGCGGATACTAAGGTCTTGAAGTTGACGGCTCAGGAGCTTGTTCCCGTGAACGAGTACAGCACCGTCATAATCTTTGAGGACATCGGATTCAGAGTCCCAGAAACAGGGCTGATGCAGAGTGAGAAGAGCTTGTACATGTCTGCCATCACATCGTCTGCCATCATCCCGGATACCAACTTCGATGACATCACCCCCGTCGGCTACTTCCGATCCCTGCCTCACCTGTCCTTTGATCCAGCCAGCGCCAACGCCATCTCAGGCATCACAGTGGGGCTGGACACAAACCTCGTGATATCCGCCAATACCGTCATGGGCATCACCGTCAAAGATTTCTCGAGCTCGCTGGTCAATCAATCGGATTTCGTGTCGGTGTATCCTACCTGCCAGCTCACCAAGGTCCGATGGTACAACAACCAGATCTTCGTCTCAACGATGCAGGATCTTGTTGCAGAACAAGTGTTCAACCTGACCCTCTCCAAGGATTTCAAGGTCAAGTTACCCATGAACGGCATCCAGCCCGTCGTTACCTTCGATAGATACAACGCGAAGCTGGACGGACTCTACTACAAGGTCTCGACTGATCCGTTGGGAGTCGTTTCAAACTCGGAAATCTGCTTGTCAAGCTACTACAGAGGGTCTCGGGTGTCCGTAAAGGTGGTAGCATGGATAGGTATGCCCCTTTCATTCGGCGACACGGTGTCCGCGGTTGTTCAGGGGATGACAGGACCATCGGCGGTAGGACTGAATGCTCAAATGTTCAAATCCAAGGAGATGGGTTGTAACCCCTCGCAGCTCGAGCAGGTTCTCCCTGCTCCCATAGCGTCTTGGGACAGCTCCACATCCACTCTGTCCTTCCTGTTGGCGCAGAACGTCGAGGGTAATGTTTCTATCCACCTGGTTGCCCTGTCAGCCCTTGAGATCGGACCCTTCGGACTGTACAAGGACGACGATCAGAACTTGATTTCCATCGCTACCGCCATGCCGGTCTACCAAGAGCCCATCAGTCACTCTCCGGGGGTCGGCACCGTCCTGATCTCCTTGCTGGACTTCCAGCCGAGGCTCTCCGACGAGCCAGCGAGCTTCACGGTAGAAATGCGATTCAGCTGCAACCTTGCAGCTCGCGAGTCGTTCATCCTGCACCTGCCAGGCTTCTACAAGTGCAGCATGGTCAACGACTGCAGCTACACCTTCGCTACCCAGGGAGAGGAGGCTGACATGTTCCCTACGGCCACCTGGGACGGGGCCTCCAGCCCCCCGAGGATCGTCTTCACGGCTGCAACGTTCGTGTCGAAAGGGCGAGTAGTGAGTGTGGTGGTGCCGAGCTCTAGCGGGATCCGGATCCCTCTGAATGGGTTGTCGCTGAATCAGAAGGATATCAAGATCTCGCTCAACTCTTCTTCCTGTCTTGTCCCGCCTACATCCCTGCTCTCCGTCTCTCCCGTTGGCTCCTTCGCTCGCTCAGAGTCGTTGATCTTCGGGACGCCAGTGGCCGGAGTCTTTTCCTCCATCACCTTCGAGTTCACTCCTACACAGTTGATCCCCGCCGGGTCAAAGATCAACCTCTGGCTCAAAGGGTTCTCACGTAACCTGTCAACTCCCGTCAAGGTTTTCACATCGCTCAACACGTCTTACAGCAACTCAACGTTCAACTCAACAGCAACGTGGGATGCCGGCAGCCATGTCCTGACCTTCAGCACCATCCACGACGTCAACCCCGCCACTCTAGTGACTCTGCTCGTTCCAGCGTCCGAGAGGCTGAAAGTTCCCCTCACTGGCATCCAGAAGTACAACGGCTGCAACTGTCTCAGTACGAATGCTTGCAACTGTACAACGGTTTTGTTCTGGGTGGACTCTATCTTAAGTCCGATTTCTTCCCGACCGGTCGAGAGCCTTTCTCTAATCGGAGCGATCTTGGAATCCGAACTCACTTACAAGTTCCTACCCAGCTCTTCCTTTCAGAGCGTCCCTGTGAACTTAACTTACAGTCTCACTTTCAACTTCCGTCTCATGGCAGGCGACGAGCTGGTCCTTTACCTCCCGGGATTCCGGAGAAGCAACCTGTCGGCCCCTTCAGCCGACTTTGCTTATCTGAACCAGGAGGCTGTAGCTCGACCAATGTTCGATGTTGGAGCCTGGAACCCAGCCTCTCAGTCCCTCTCGCTCAAGGTCTTGCAGGAGGTCGGAGCTGAGCAGCGGGTTAGATTGCTCTTCATGTCGGACTTTGGGTTTCTGTTCCCCTTCGACGGCATCACAGGCAGAACGAGCGACAGTTTCAGAGTTGTCGTCCAAGGAGTGTACGGGAAGGTGCTGTCAACCCCCTCAGCTGCTGTCCAGCTGTTCGGATCATTCCTCGGCACTTCTCAGCTCCGCTTCACTCCCAAGATAGCAGGAGCCTCAGTCAACGTGACCATCAGCTTCACCGCAAGTATGCTGATCAATGCAGGAGAACGCGTCCTCGTCTCCTTGCCGTTCTTCGGAGGAGCCAACGGTCTCTACTCCGTCTTCTCTTCCCCTCCCGCGTTGACCAACGCTGCTTACTGGGCGACTGACAATCAGACACTGACGATTCAGATGCGCGCCGTCGTGCTGCCGTACACCAAGGTCGTGCTAACAGTATACGGATCCTCCTCATTGTCTGGGATCAACCTCCCGATTCAAGGAATGGCCTACGACACCTTGCACCACTACACGCTCTCTACTAATTGCGCCGACGGCCCAGTCCTGCTGCCGCTGCCCTTCGTCCAGATCGACTCGGTAGCTGCCGTGTTCAACACTTCCGTCGTCTTCGGAGAGAACGCCAAGGCCGGGCAGGTTGCTAACCTGTCAATGGCGTTCGTGGTGAACAGGCCGCTAGTCGTTGGTGATTTCTTCACGGTGGAGCTGAACGGCTTCCAACTCCAGTGCTCCGTATGCAACTCGAGCGACTGGACGCTGCATGCAAGCATCCTTATCCAGGGATTCAGCGATGAGTCGCTCGTGGCGACCTGGAACAACCGCACGGCCCTCCTTACACTCCGCGTCGTCAAGGCGATAACCAACTCCATCACAGCCATCCAGGTGAACATCCTGTCCAGTCCAGAGCTCCAAGTGCTCTTGCCGTCAGACGGGGTAACTCGAGGCGATCAGAAGATACGAATCAAAGTCTCAGGCCTGTATGGCAACTCCGACTTCGTCGCGATCAGCAACGTACAGCCTGTAGGAGCTTTCATCACCAGCCCCAGGATATTCTTCGTTCCTCCTGTGGCAAACGCCATCACGGAGCTCCGAGTTGCGTTCTCGCTATCCAACGCCCTCCGGCCTGGAGATACGATAGTGCTGACTATCCCAGGGTTCTCGCTCAACGCCTCCTCTGCCTCCAGCGCCACCACCATCGATGTCACCAGCTTCCTGCTCGGTTCCATCAAGGGAGACTTGTCTGCCGTGTGGGTCCCTGGAGAGTCGGCTCTGCGCATCTCCATCATCAACTTCATTCCAGCAAGCATTTTAATCAACATTACTCTGGGCAAGGACGCGGGGCTCACCATCCCATCGGACGGGGTCTCGCAGGTCCCGATCTCGATGCTAATCGATGCTGTCGACGGCAAGATCCTCCCCGTGCCAACGTCTTACGAGCCGGTCGGGTATATCTCTGGCAACATGGAACTGGCCTTCACTCCGCCAGTCGCCTCCTCCCCCGTCGACATCACCTTCAAGTTCTGGCCCGTCAGTGGCCTCCAGGCTAACGATGAATGCACCCTCCTGCTCCCGCTCTTCTCCCGAGCCTCAGGGCTGCCTGCTGCTCTGCAGCTCGACGTCTCGTCAAGTTTTACAGCTCTTTGGTCCGTTGACAGCAAGACCGGACAGCCGACTGTGACATTGAAAGCGACAGCTGAAATATCCCAGCGAGTGGAGATCGTGATCTTGGCACTGAACAGCATCATTTCCCCACCAGAGGGCATTTCGCCGTCTTCAGTCTTCACCTTCTCCTGCAGGTCTCCGTTGGGAACCATTCAGCCCACGAAGATCCAAAAGGTCCAGCTGTTCGGCAAGTTCGTCAGCAACGCCATCTCCTACTTCCCTCCGAGGCCAGGAGCCACCCTCTCAGACCTCAACGTTGCGTTCGCCTACTCCCAGGCTCTCAAGGCTGCAGAGACCGTCGTCGTCAACCTCCCTGGATTCACCTGGAACTCTAACTTTGCAGATCTCACAAGGAACATTGTGGCTGCCAACTCGATCCCCTTGGCGATCGAGTGGAAGAAGGACTCTTCGAATCTTATCCTCACCTTGCAGCAGGACGTCCCAGCTAAGGCACAGGTGGAGATGACCATTACAGGTTGGGGGCTGATGCTGCCAGCCTTGGGCGTGAGAGACGATGTGACTTTTACCATGGCAACGGACGCAACTGCCGGGCCCGTCCTGCCTGCCAAGATCCTCTCCATACTCCCAGTAGGCGCGTTCTCCGACACCTCCGTCAGCTTTTCTCTTCCTGTTGCAAACACAGTCGTGGACGTCCGCCTCACCCTGGTTCCTCTGATGAGAATTGCAGCAAATGACAACATCACTGTAGTGCTGCAAGGTTTCGAAGCCGTAGCAAGGCCTTCGACTGCGAACCCTTCGGTTGTTTTCACTACCAAAGTGACTGACGGTTTTGTTACCATGTTGTCGTACACGTTCCCACAAGCAACAGCTGCCTTGCAAAGCACAACCATTGTTCTGCCTCAGTTGCGAACTCCCTTGGCTGGTCTGGTCAAGGGCTACCGGGGAATATCCTTATCGCTGGATTCACGTTCTGGATTGGTGAAGGATCTTTTTGTTGAGAACATTCAGCCGTTCGGCAGCTTCTCCTCTGCCCTCTTGAGGTTCCTTGCAAACCCTGACGACGACAGCATCATCGACATTCAGTTCGCCTTCACAGCGACTATGGAAATTCTCGTCGGAGAGAAAGTCCAAGTATCGCTCACAAACTACTCTGGCACCTCGAAGACATATCAGGTCCAGGACGATTCAGGTTCATTCTCCTCAGTCACGTGGGATCTCGCATCGAAGAAGTTCACGCTAGTACCCAACAAGGTCATACCAGCCTGGAAAGTCATCAACATGTACATCAAGGACGTCAGACAGGTCGGCAACGTCGCCAGCATCTCAGCGTTGATCTCGACGGACGCATCCAACGGCCCGGTTCTACCAACACCAGTGCAGGTGGTCAACAGGATCGGCAAGATCTACAACTCCTCGTTGCTCTTTGGGACCCCTGTCGCCGGTCAGGTCAGCTCAGTCGTCGTCTCCTTCTCTCTCTCCGCTCCGATCCAGCAAGGAGAAAACATCCTCGTGGGACTCCCTGGCTTCAAGATATCTGGCGCTGCCGAGACCTCAACCATTCAGCTCAGTAGCTTTCAGTGGTCGTATGGCATCTGGACAAGCTCGCAAGACACGCTAGCCTTGTTCACAAAGACCTTGATAGCCTCGGATTCTCCCATCTCCATCACAGTCCCAGCTGCTGCCGGGCTGCGCCTGCCGCCGCAGGGGGTCAACGCGAGCAATTTCTATTATATCCGCTCCAATGCCTCGTTCGGGCAGACTGGCCCCTATCGGGTGGACAGCGTGCAGGCCGTTGGCTCCTTTGGCGGCCTGTCGCTTTCGTTCCCTTCACCTCAGCTGGTGTACGCGGGTCAACAGGCCAACATGCTGGTGGAGTTTGTTCCGTCCATGGACATCAGACCGGGGGAGAAACTCTCAATCGCCCTGCCCGGTTTTTCCGGCACGCCAGCGATCCAGCCACAAGGTGCCACGTCATCGGTAGCCCTTGCAAGCTCCGTCGTCAACATCGTCTTGGCGTCTCTCAGACCAGCAGGAGTCAAAGTCTCCCTGACCGTTACTGGGCTGACACTCCCAGCTAATGGAATTCAGAATGGCCAACAAGACATCACGATCTCCACCAACGCGGCTGCAGGGCCAGTCTTGCCGACTCCCTTCAGCAGCCTGTATAGTGTAGGAGCGCTAAAACAGGCCAAGTTGTCCTTCGGAAATCCTGTTGCGAACCAGCCGACAAGCCTCAAGTTCGAGCTTTTGACTTCTATGAACATGAACGTCACGGCTAACATCTCGTTGTACCTTCAGTCGTTCCCTGTGAACGACACTGTGATCAACGGGTTCAGTTGCTCGTTCCCCTGCTCCTGGAACCAGTACTCCAAGGTCCTCAGTGTCCGCCCCACTCAGTTTGTGCTGGCCAACACGCTGTTCACAATCCTTATACCCCAGTCCGCAGGATTCTTCCTCCCCGCAAACGGGATCCAAAAGGACGCAAGCGGGGTGAAGATAGGAATCGACTCTGTGTTCGGCAAGGTTCAGCCGACCTCCATCACTTCTTCACAAGGAGTGGGCGTGTTCTTGAACAGTCAAGTCAAGTTTGACCCGGGCAGTGCCGGGGGATCGAATGAGATTCAGCTGTTCTTCACCTACTCCCTCAACATCTCTGTCGGGGACACCATCGACCTTGTCCTCACGGACTTCACTAGGACGTCGTTGCAAACTGTGACCGTCGCTGGCTCCTCCTTCGGCGTAATGAAGTGGAACCAACTGACGTTCACTCTAACGTTAACTTGCACCCAGCAAGTTCCCCAGCTCGTCGAGTACAGCGTCCAGATTCCCCCGTCGTTTGGCCTCATCAGTCCCCTCAAGGCGATCCCAAGAGACACCAGCTCCTTCCTCATCTCTTGCTCCGCCACTCTCGGTCCAGCGCTTCCCAGGCCTCTTGACGCATCTGCACCTATCGGATACTTCGGTTCCACCACGTCCCTTGCTATGACTCCCGGGGTAGCGAACCAGGCCAATGACGTCACTTTGCAGTTCACCAGCCAGCTCGCCCTCGAGGTCAACGATGTGGTGAGAGTCTTTCTGCCATCGTTCCAGCAGGAAGGAGCCTTCAGCAATGTCCAGATGGTGACGGAGGATTTCAACGCGACCGCTCGCGCCTGCTCCTCCTCCGTCTGTCCCAGCTCTCCTGGGTTGTACGTGGACGTGCAGCTGAGAAAGAGGGTCCTGGCGAATGTGGCCGCTCGTTTCACGATCAGCCTGGGGCTCATATTACCCCTGGATGGGGTCAGGAAGAATGACAACCAGTTCAGATTCAGCGTTCTCAGCTATTCCTCTCCCATCCCCGCCACGTCCTTTGCTGTCGTGAACCCAGTCGGAGCTATTTCCCTTGCCAGCCTCTCCTTCTCCCCGCTGGAGGTGAAAACTTCAGTCAGCATCGTCCTCCAGCTTCGCCTGTCCATGAGTCTCGACGTCGGGGATACGATCGCACTGAAGCTGCCCAACTTCGAAGGAAGCTCTTTCACCAACGGTGCAGTCAGCTCCATACCCAGTGGCTGCGTTCTGCAGTCCAGTTGGAGTAACCTTGATTACACCTTGCAGATGAAGGTCTCATCGGCAGTGGCGGCCAGCACGCTCATTACCGTCACTATCCCTTCAGCGTTGTCCATCTCCATTCCAAGTCAAGGAGTAGCAAAAGACGACAAGAATTTCACAGTCTCGATCTCCTCGATCAACGGGAACGTGTCTCCCCGGCCGTTCAGCACAGTCGCCAGGGTCGTCGCCTTCTCTACCAGCAGCCGGCTAATTTTGTACTCTCCCCTGCCATTGAACGGCTCGGCGATGACTTTGCAGACTGTCGCCTTGCAGCAGATCATGGCCGGAGACGCCTTCTTCCTTCAACTTCCAGGGTTCATCTCCTACTCCAAGTCCATCTCGCTCGAGGCATCGCCCTCTATCAACATCCAAGGGTTCTGGAACGAGGGCCCCTCCTCCGACGCCTGCTCGGCGTGCTCGCAGGGTACTCTGTGCCAGTCAGAAGGCCTGATCATCCTCTTCAAGCAGACGTACGCGGGTGAATTCAAGATCACCATCCCTGCAGGCTCAGTAATGCTGCCAGAGACAGGGCTGTCAGTCAACGTCACCACGATGGTCGTTGGTACCATGGCTGACTCCACCGTCAGCTCGTTCGTACCGACCTCCTCCACCGTCGTCTCCTACTCCTCTGCCGTTCCTCCTCTCATCTCGAACGAGGAGCTGGTGATCCAAGAAGTCTCTTCGTCCGGCTTGTCTAACTTGTCGCTCACTGTGCACTTGAACTCTGACCTCCCCGCTGGCACCATCATACGGCTCCAGCTTCCCTTCATGCAAGGAGACGAGGACTGGGTGAGGAGCTATCAGTGCAGGTTGCAATATTCTGACATGCGCAACCACTGCGCGTGGGAGGAGAGGAAGTACTTCTTTGACAGGAGATATCAGCAGAAGTTCGAGGACTACAACTTCCTGGTTGTGGAGAATAACTCCTCGGATACCTTCACATTCTTGTCGTATTCCTGGAGCTCTTCAAATCAACACATCGAGATCAAGACGAGTGAAGCGATCAAGGGCTTCCAGACTCTGTCCTTTCACATCCCCACATCAGCAGGATTGTACGTCCTGCCGCAGGGCAACTACAGGCTCGAGGATGCAGCGAGCATCGAGTTTGACCTCCCGCAGCTTGCGATGACGACGAGGAGGTTTTTGATCACTGACGTGACCCATTTCGAACCTCTTTTCAGAGATTCCTCCATTCTCATCACACCAGGATCATCGGGGGTCGGGCTCAACGTCCAATTCTCTTTCCTTTCGCCTCCGGGCCTGCAAGTCTCCGACGTAGTCAGGGTATACCTTCCAGGGTTCTTCCTTCAGACTCCCGCAGTCGCTCTTAGCGTCTCAGTATCGCCCTTAGTCAGCGTCACATGGGAGACAAACCTGGAGTCCTCTGCCATCTCCTTCCTGGTCGCTGCTGGCTCCCTCGCCGCCATGTCTAAGGTCCAGATCACCCTGGCGGCCACGGCAGGCATGCAGATCCCAAGTTCAGGAGTGGACAAGCAGTCAGGCATCACGATGGAGGTTGTGAAGGCAGGTCAAGAACACCTCAGACAGGACTTCGACACCGTCTTCCCAGTCCATGGCGTCCTGTCCTCCTCCTTGTCGTTCGACCCCACGATCGTCGGCCAGTCGCCCTCCATCTCGATCGCGTTTGCTCTGCCGTTCAACCTCAACCAGAGTGACTCAGTCCACGTCCTTGTCCCCAGCCTCTACTCCGGCGCTAGCAAGCAGCTGACTGGGTTGACCGCCAAGTCAGTGTGCTATCCACGGCTCTTGCCCTCCCTCTCTGTCTCCTCCGTCAGCCACAGCCGTTGCCAGCAAGGGCAGGACGGCTGCCTAGTCCCAGAGGCATGCGCTCCTGGCTGGTATGGGCCCACGTGCTCCTATTTCTGCGATGATGCGGCGACTTGCAACTCGCTGGAGAAGAAAGGTTTCTGCAACGAGTTCGGCACCTGCACCTGCCTCCCTCCCTTCCGAGGGACCTTCTGTAATGACACGCTCCCCAGCTCGGCGGCCTCTTGCTCCTCCCAGCAGGGAGCAGACGTCGTCCAGCCAATGGCGACTCCCTCAGGAACTTGGTCAAAGGACGAAAGTGCATTCGTCCTCAAGTTCTCGGGTCAGGTGCAGTCATGGAAGACGGTGACGGTCAAGATCCCGAGCATCGCAGACTTGTTCTTGCCAGTCATAACTGACGCACTCGCGTCCTCCTTCAAGATCTCTGTCCATTCGCAGGGTCAGGTCACGACCAGCGCGATCGGGCAGGTACAGAGGGCCTACACCTTCGGCTGCTACACGACCTTCGTTACCGTCCCTTCCTCGAGCTTCTGCAGCGGAACCGTGCCCGTCCGACTCTGCTCCAAGTCCCAGCAGGACGCGCAGCTGTACACAGACATGGTCGTCAGGAACAGTTTGCTCCAGATGACCAGCGCCAGTTGTCCCAGCAAGTGCCAGGACGGCTACGCTCCTTCTAAGGTACTTGATACGTTCTATGCTCCTCCCTCCTTGTTCGCTGACCTTGCCTTGCAGGAGGAATGCTGTAGCGTGTCCGGCGCATGGAACTCAGCCCAGTGCTTGCAGAACTCTGACTGTGCTGGTCTTCCCACGGACTCCGCCGCTGCTGTCAGTGGGGTAGCGAACGTCGACAGCCTGTGCTGCGAGCACTGCGACAAGCTCGTCAAGGCCACATGCAACAGCAGCACTGCGGTGCAGGAGTGCAGCCGATGCAGTTCCAGCGCTCCTTGCTACGGCTACACCATAGCCAAGAAGGTGGTCAGTATCGACCCCGTGGTCGGAGCAGCCGTCAAGCTGGACAACGGAGCTGGCATGCAGGTTCCTCCCGGCGTGTGGCCCGTCGCCCAGCCGGCGTCTGTAGCGATCTACTCGGCTCCGGTCACGGTCCCTCAAGGTGAGTGTGGGAGAGGAGGAGGAAGAAGCGGCAACCTCTGACTCTTTTCTTGTCGTAGGGGGTCAGAGCGTGTCTCAGGCTCTAGAGTTCCAGCCCTCCCCGCTCACCTTCCCGGAGCCCGGAGTGACCATGAACTTCCCTGTCGAGATCGACTCGACCATGCTGAGTGGTGGTATGCAGCTCGCCGTGTTCAAGGTAGGGGGGGACTTTTCTCAGCTCCTCTGCTGGGCGCTGACATCCTGACCTTGACAGATTGTCGACAACGTCCTCGTCCCGCACCCCTTCCCACCGACGCTTGTCAACGGTACCGTCAGCGTCAAGACCCTCAGCTTCTCGGTCTACACCGTCGTCCTCGTGCCGACAGAGCAGACTAACGTGCTAGGGTCGTCCACCACCACCAACGCCCCTTCCACCACCCCAGCCGTCTCCTTCCTTTCCAGCACGACTCCAGCTCCTGTCCCAGTCAAGGGAGGCGCAAAGTTCTGGACGCCAGCAGTCATCCTGGCCATCTCTGCTGGGGGCGGAGGCTTGCTGGCCATCCTTGCCTTCCTCTTTGCCTACAGGAGCCTGCTCTCGATGAAGTCCAAGGTGCTGGACCCTCTGCTGGAGGAGGAAACTCCTGAGCTGCAGGTTGGCACTGAGCTTGTGCTCCGACGGCCTCTGACCCCCTTCCCTCAGGTCACCACCAAACTCGTCCATCAGAACGGGGCAGACGCTGCGGTTGAGGAGGCGCGCATGTCCGGGCGCGAGATCGAGAACCTGTTCCTCAACTACGAGGAGGAGGAGCCGCAGAACGAGCAGGCTGACATGCTGGCACGGGAGGACATGGCTGGGCTAGAACGGCTGCCTCCCTCCATCAGGATGGAGCCGGAGGAGGTGGCGTCGTCCCTTGTGTGGAGCAAAAGCTCGTCAGGCAAGATGGAGCCTGTGACGTCAGCAGATCTCGTCACCCTCCAGTTCCACTCCATCTACCCCAACCCGGACGCAGACGTCGAGTTGACTCTCGACCCCTCCCTCAGCGACAAGTTCGGCATGGCCGAGCCCGCGGACTTCGCCGAGCTGGAGCCGGAGGTCACGAGCAGCAAGGTCCAGGTGAGACCCTGGTCGACTCCAGCTGGAGTTAAGCTGATGTCATGGCAGACGGCCAGTCGGGGAGGAGCGAGGGAGTTCATGTTGCATCCAGCGACGGTGGAGGAGGGAGAGGAGGGAGGAGAGGAGGAGGTGGAGCAGAACGTCAGGAGGATCGAAGACGCGCTGCCTGACCTGAACGGAGAGGATGAGCAGTTTGATGAGCTAGAGCCCAGCATGCAGTGATGGGAGCCAAGGGTGGTAGTGCAGTGAGTAGATTTACTAGTGTTATCAACATATTAACAAGTTGTTACGTGTTTACATCTCAATCGGTCAAGAAGTCCAGCATATATCCCAACTTTCATCGTTTCTCTTCTCTACCTTCATCTTCATCTTTTCGTTTCTCTTTCTCGTGCTCATATTCTCCTCGAGCGACGGACACAAAATTCAAACTGCATTGCCAGACGTCAACGTTGTTCAGGTCGGGAAAGGGAATTATGCAACAAGGAAAAGAGGATGGGGAGAGGACAGGGGAGAAGAGAGGAGAAGGGGAGGGGAGGGGAGCAGAGCAGAGCAGGGGAGGGGAGGGGAGTAGAGTAGAGGAGGGGAGGGGAACGGCGAGGAACGAGCATAAATCCACCTGCTCATCTGAGAGGTTAAATGAGATCATAGCCCAGTAGTCCAGCAGGTCTTCAGCGGTCGGAGCTCGACCAGCTCGTCTCAAGCTGACGCCCTGCTGGGGTGTAAGGGAGCGGAGGCAAGACAAGGGCAACCGACGTCCTCGAGGTCTCGGAGGCAGTCTTGGTAAGACAAGGAGCCGTCCATGCTGCGAGGGTGAAAGTTCTGCGGCCCTCCGAGTAAGATGACGAGAAGTGGAGGAAGGAGGGAGGTTGGAGGAGGGAGGAAGGGAGGAAGAGGGAAGGAGGAAGGGAGGAGGAAGGAGGAAGGGAGGAGGAGGGAAGGAGGAAGGGAGGAGGAGGGAGGAAGAGAGGAGGGAGGAAGAGGGAAGGTGGAAGGGACGAGGAGGGAGAAGGCGGACAGATGGACAGGAGGAGGAAGGAAGGGAAGGAGAGGACGTGCAAGGGGAGTGAGGATTACCGCATCAAAATCCTCGAACAGTCTTTGCATGTCGATCAATCCTGTGTTGAGGAAGCAGAAGCTGCAGACAGCATAAGGAAACACGCACCCTCCTCCTCCTCCTCCTCCAACCTGTAAACTTCTTCCACGATAACTCTCCTGTTCCTGCGGAGGCTTCCTCGAACCTTGTTGGAGGTTCAGGAGGAAAGAGAAAGAGGGAGGAAAGGAACCTCGCGGACGAAAGCGAGGTAGTTTAGCAAGCCTTGCTGCCTGCAGTGAAGGGTAAGAAGATGGGGCAGGATGCGGAGGAGAGAGGAGGGAAGAGAAAAGAGGAAGGACGATGAGGATGAGGATGAAAGAGAAAGACGAGGAGGAAGGCATGAGGAAGGAGGAAGGAGGAGGAGGGAGGAGGGAGGAGGG